TTAACTCCAAATCTAGAGGAAAGTGAACTTCTGGTGGCTAGCTGGTTGGGATTTACTCCTTAGAAAACAGTTTTTTCTAGATGCCAGCATGGTCAGTCCTCTTCGACCGTTGGTGTGAAGAGTTGGCAAGTGACTGTATACTAACAAACCCTGGATTCAGATTCAGTAAATCTGGTGTCAGCCTGAAGTCTTGCATGTCTACAAGCTCCTTACATATGCCCACACTGCTCCTGAACAGGGTGACAAGTGGGACAAGCACTAGGCTGCTGGGCAGGCTTACTTGCTAGTCTTGTTCCCTATGTTTGCCTGCCATGGACTTGAAAAGCCCAAGCTGGCACTTGCTCCCAAAAGAAAGATACAAAATACTAACCTTAATTCATTCCTGCCTAGAAATCTGGTTTCTTTCTTGCTGCCTGTAATAAGTCTCTGCAGCTAATGGACAAGCAATGGTATAGGCTGAAGTGGCTTCTGGAAGAGGGGCAGCTGTGACAGCTATTCAATGTATTTTCTTCTATGGGAAATTTCACATTCATGAGGGAAAAAGAGGAAAAATTCTCTTGCTTTGGGAAAAAGTCTAGCCAAAGATCAGGTTGTAGCAAAATCCCTGAAGAAGCCAGCCAGAAGCCGCATTGAGATCGGAGAACAGCAGAAAGCCCCTGGTGCAATGTGTATTTGGTCCACCCATAAAAGTTTATTTCTTTCCTCCTTCCCTCTCTTGCAGCTTCCTTTCGGGTGAGCCATGGCTGCATATCCAAATCAACAATTAAATCCCCCCTTTGTTTGTGTGGCAGATGACAAATGCATGGAGGACATCTTGTGTTGCCTAGGCAGGCAGGGCACTTACTTTGATTGATGCTCAGTTGTAGAAAAAAATGAGCTGGGAAGGAATTACAATGGAGGGCCTGCAGACTGGAAGGGGATATACTAATTAGTCCTGCATTAAGCAGTCTGCTTGCATTTGGCGATGAGATGCCTTCAGGAGGGAAGTGTAGGGGTTATTGATGCAAAACAGCATGGAATGCATTATGCCAGGTAGCTGTATATTCATTTTGCTAAAAAATGTATTAAGAAGCAAATACTTTGGCTACTGTGTATTTTTTAAACACTCACCCTCAAGTATATTGGGTTAGCCAAGCTTTTGTTTTTATCTCCACTTGGTCCTGTGGGCAATGGGGCAGCCTTTTTGTTTCTCTGGAAAGACTTCCAGAGTTTTTTCGTCCTGGGTAAAGTACTGGGGAGGTGAAGCTGCTACCTTATCTACAGTTCATGTTTCTTTTTGCTGAGTCCCTCTAAAGAGTCTTGAGTTTTGATGGAATGCAATGGCACACATGAAAGATAGACACACCCCCTTTTAGAAAGACACACCCCTTTTTAAGGTTTAGAGGGTTATTCATTTGACCCAGGAAGAACCCGAGGGGCAGGGTGTATTAAGACAAGCATCTCTGACTCTAGGCAAAGGCTTCATTAAATAGGAATAAAAACCATGCAAAGCACATGCCTGCATTTGGCTTAACAGTCCATGTTTTAGGTTATAGGCAGATGGAGTGTTTTGTGCTAAAACATCTCATAATTCATGGGTGATCCAGAAACTCTAGGTAGCTGAAACATATGATCTAGGGGACACGAATGGTCATCTCTAGGTCACTGTCTCCTGAACAATGGAAGACTAGAGGGCAGTGGAGAGAGAAAGGTCCCCAAATAATCACTACCATATGCAGTTTAAAATTCAAACCCTGAAATGCTGATTTAGTCAATTTGACCCGAAGAACCAACGAAACTGGGCATAATGAAAAGAAGTCACAGAGGTCTTTTGTCACAGCGGGAAATAAACAGACTTGAAACTTGCTTGACTTCAGAGCCATGGTCACTAGGCAAACTAAACTTGAACTCCTGGTAATCCACCTGCCTCAGCCTCTCTGCAGGGGTTACAGATAGGAGCCACCAAACCCAGCTAACAATGTGTCTCTATGTTGAGATCTGTCTAGCTCACACCAGGCACCTTGAACTTGCCCAGTGGGAAGCAGATGGCCCCATGTCCTCGGCTCCTTTTGTGAGTCGTCTGATCCTGGCGCAGCCGAGTTGTCTCTTCACTATTCTGAATCTAGGGACATGTTCACTTATGGATTTATAGATACCTATACTGAGAAAAGATGCCAATGATAAAGATAGGATTTCTAGTCCTCGTAGACTGCTGAGCCCCCTTTTCTTTAAGTTATATCTATGACTCAGAGCATAAGACAAATATGAGAATATCTGAAGTGTGATCCGATGTCTACAACCTGCCTTCCACAGACAGACCAGGAACTGTGCCAACAGCTCTAGGAAGAAAAGCTAAATAGTTAATGTGGTTTATTTTTTAACCATCCCTTTGTTTTAGAATTCTATCTTATTCTTGAGCTGATTCTATGTCACTGTGACCTTCTCCTGCCAGGAAGGCACAGTTGAGGCCTCCTTCAGTAATAGCCTAGGGCTTTGGACAAGCAAGATGCTATGCTGGCTCCTTGCCTTTTCCAATGTTTACACAACCAAGACTTATTACATGCTCTGTCATTTGTTACTGGGCTGGCTTTGGTCTGAGAATTAGGTAAACATCAGACATTCCATCACACAATTTTAAACTCAATTTTACTTTATAATGATGTTAATGTTTATTGTACCAAGTGAGATGCATTTGTATATTTCAGCATCTTATTTCAGACATAGAATGCAAAACTTGACATTGGAATCAGCTTGATTTGTGTGTGTGTGTGTGTGTGTGTGTGTGTGTGTGTGTGTGATTGAAGATATTAAGCACTACAAGAACATTGGAATTTCAATATGATTAGGATCAAAATTCTGCAGGATCAAAACACTCCTTTTCCTCCCCCTACAGTTTGACTAATTGTGCGCTACTTGACATTGTGGGGTTACTCCACAGCATGATAGCTAAATATGTGAAGTGTATTTTACTGTGTGGAATTATCAGCTCAGTCTATTTGTTTTTCATGTGTTTAAGGTTATTAAAAGAACTCAAAATGAGAAGTCATGTGTACGAGTGAAAAGTATGAACTCAATCATTGTTAGTAGGCTAAATCATAAAGCAATAGCCAGTAAGTCAATATCACGTAATGAAAAAAAAAAATCACTGAATTTGAAAGCATACTTTCTGTGTTTATTAGCTGGCAAGATAGCGGAGAAATTAGAACGGCATAATGGTAGTATAGTTTATTTCCAGCACTTTTAAATTATTCTGGCTACTGAAAATAAGATGAGAGTGGATGGAAAAGGATGACACCAGGCATATCTGTTGGAGACTTTTGCCTTTTGGGAAGACATGAGCTGCATGGCCTTGCCTTCCTCAGGAATTGTGTTTCTTCAAGCTGTGTATCAATTCTGAGAGAAACAACATGGCATCTTCAAAATAAGGCCCAAGGTTTACAAAGATCTTTTAAAATCACCACCAGGTTTCTGAATTTAGACCTTAATTAAGGCTGGAAAAATGAGAAAGCATTCCCTGCTCCAGCCCTCCCCCAACACAGGAGGGTAGTGTTGGAGGTTAGTGTCCTGAACACAAAATATTCATTTCTAAAACATCTGTATGCCTGGCCTGTGGCATGGCATTCCAGAAATTTATCCACTGGTCCCTTCAGAGATCTTTATTTTGTACATTTTTCCTGAATTCCAAGCAACAAAGAACCTGATGTTTCTGTTCAGGAAACACATCATTTTCTCCCCCCAATTAATTGAAGAGCCATCTGCTTCTGTGATACATAACACCCATTCATTCTTAGCAACAAGTGTGTCCCCAGACTCCCTGATGAGCAATATCAAGGCACGTGCCCAGTGTTGGGAGTAGACTGTGCTAGATAGCAGCCATCGTCAGGCTGTGCCCAGAGAAACATACATAGAATCTGACATTGACTTTGGTCCCATTCAGTGTTGCTAACATAGAGTTAAAAACACAGTACCATGATGCTGACCACGTAGAGATTTGAGCTAACTTAGTCTCCATCAGTCTTTGAAGAACATAATTGAATGTGAAGAACTGATTGCAAAAGGCTAGATTTCTGGGGAGTAGCTCTTCCCAGCTGTGACAAGAAGGGGCAAAGACTACCATGCTGGCCTTTGCTATATAAAACCTTCTTCTTGAACTGGACTATGTCATGGGTAGTACCTTATATGTATTGAAAATTAGACTTCTGAACTGTGTAGAACTTTCCAAAAGTGTAGCTGGTAGAACTTGTCTTTCAGGAAGTCTGTAGAATGGTCATATACTCAGAGGAGGGAACTTCCACCAGTTCACAGCTTCTTGGACCTTTTCTTTGCAGAAACAGGCTGGTAGACTCTGAGAGAACCTTGCATGTTGAGTCTGTATGCGAGTTGTTGCTTAGATTCTATCAGAGATGAGGAGCCCAGCAAGACTCAAAAGAGTGAACACTAATTTCTTATTCTCAGGAGTGGAAACTGGAAGCAAAGTCTCCTCTGTGTGAGCCTCTTTCTAGAAAGACATTACTATTGACAGACACTGCCATCTTGTAATGTGTTCTGTCTCTGCCCCTGATGGACTTTGTCCTTACCCAGTTGTTGTGGCTAGGCAAGTAGGCATTTTTTTTTTTTTTTTTTTTTTTTTTTTAACAAGGTCCTGGCCTATTTGAATTTGTCTTTGCCCATGTATGGTTTGAAGCTGAAACCTCACATTTCAAAGTGGAAATTGCAGTCTAGAAAATGAAAGGGTCAAGGAGGCATTTAAGACAGAGGTTCTTTCTATCTACTTCCTTTGAGAGAAAGCTCAAGAGACCACCCAATTCTAGATGAGTGCTGAGAAATCCCACAATTCCTCTGGGCCCAAGGTCCAGCTTTTGATACAATACCAATGCCTGCTGAAATTATTTATATCTCACTTTAACCCACTGTGTGACAGTCATTTCAGATATAGACAGGAGACACTAAGGGGAAGGTCAGTACTGAGCCCCATGATGTCAGAGAGAGAAAGACAAATGACATAAGCCCAGGGTACTTACAGTCCAGGTGACTGTGCCTGATGCCTTCCACATCTTCGGCATGGATGAAGTGGTAACATCTTTTCCCTACAATGTCTACAGGGGTCAGATCCATGTAGTCACTGATCCTGTGAAGAGAACAACACCGATTGGAACCCAGAAAGTAGGAAAGTAGAGAGAGACTATCAAATAACGCATGATGCTGACTGCACAATGTTTTCATCATGCCAAGTACCTTCGAGGATGAGGCACTCGGTACAAATGCTCTCAGCAGAGGGAGAAGATTATTTCTGTAGCAGATAACAACACTTTTCAAAATTTGGATATGTGCTAGATCGAGCAATTGCATTTAAGTAATTAGGTAGGTTTTTCCTTGGCATGAGAACGCACATTTAGACAACATAATTCCGTGAAATTATTGAGGAACTGTAACAATGCAGGATCCTCATTACAGGCCAAGATAATTCAAGGTTACATAATAAAATAAAAACATGTTATGTTTATACCAAATGATTAGAGACACCTTTCATTTAAGCAGATTGGTCTACTGTTGGGTATTTCCATGAAAAAGGGATTCAACTGCTTCTTGGCACAAAGTCCAAATTGGCATTTCAAGGGATATAATTTAAATGCCGAGACATACAGATGCCTGGGGGTATTATCTTTTTTAGTCTCAGTCATTTGGGAGCTCGGCTTTCACTCCTGGCTCTTTTAACTGGTGCTTTGTGGTAGATGCTACACAGAAACTTTTAAACCATTTCAGCAGCTCTTCTGGGCCTATACTTGACAGTGTGTGTATACCAGTGTCTGCAAAGTGTCCTCAGGAAGGATACAGAAAAATAGAACCCAAACTATAAAACACATAGGAGGATCTACCATGTTTATATAGACATGTATAAAATGCTTATTGCATGCTGCATCATTCAATTTGGTTGGTAAAACAAAATAGATTTTTGCTTAATTTTATTGTCCGTTTAAAATTACCAACGACAGAGAATCTATTTAAATGTGAAGCAAATATCTGGAAATATCACCTTTAATCAGTAATGGGGAATTATGTCCAACCCATGCGACAGGGAGCTAAGAAGAAATGCTGACACAAAAATGCTACTGAGTTAGCTGGACATGGTGGCACAAGCCTGTAAACTCAGCACTCGGGAGGCAGAGGCAGGAGGATCTTTGTGAGTTTGAGAGCAGCCTGGTCTACATAGTGAGTCCCAGGACAACCAGAGCTACATAGTGAGACCCTGCCTTGAAATAAAATCCTTTAGGGGTAAAATTAAAATATACTGCTCCACGAGGTGAGTAGATTCTCAACGTCTAGTGATTGAAATAACCTCTCTGGCTAAAGTAGAATTCATAGTAAGAGAAGATTCCTTTGAGAATGAAAAGGTCTTGGAGGCTTTGTGGTATAAAATAGGTTGGTTGTTCTGTTTTTTAGCTTGTTTTCCAAGTGTGTTTTCCAAGTGCTGTTAACATCCCTTTCTGCAAAAAAAAAAAAAAAAAAAAAAAAAAAAAAAAAAGCAAAACCAACCCAAACAAACAACAAAAAACCAAGGGAGGCAGAGTGTCATCAAAAGGCAAGGCCCTCTCTGGTGTCTGTGAAACCTGCCACCTCCTGAAAGCATTAGATGCTAGCAGTGTCCTGGGCCATCCTAAAGATTGCAGAAGACTTGCCAAGGAGCAAGCTAGTTTCTAGTTAACAATCCCCTAAATGAACAATAAATACTGGAGAAAACCAGGTCATTCTTTGGGGAGTCATTCTTTGGTTAACTCTTTACTTGAATGAAAAATCTTAAAAAACTTCAGGATCAGCCTCTTCAATAGACCAGAGCCTGCTGTGGTGAAAGTTACCAGTTCAGGAATAAAGGAATTCTTACTAACCAGTCCTTGTTCCCTCACCTGTAATAACTTTAGGACTTAGAGAGAAGGGTCATGAATTGAAATTCACAATGCCCAGAGCTTGGCCCATGGCAGCTTTTCTGTAAACTGAATATGCAATAACCCCTCACTAAAGGACTTTTTTCAGAATCGCTGTCAATTTCTTTTGGGAAAGAATGATGCATTGCAGCATTGCATTGGTTAATGGAGGTTTTTTTTTTTTTTTTTTTAAGAAAAAAAAATCTAAGAGCAGGTCACAGAAAATAATCTCAATTGCTAAAATAGGATATTGGAAGCATATTAAAAAATTAGTCACTTGATCCCAGCAATGAAAGTTAGTGACCCTTTGGCATAGAACAACTGTTGGAAGTTTGGCCCTGGAGTGGAGGCAGATTTTTTGGAGGGCAGATTTAGAATTATTTATGGCATAACACTGACAGGTTTGAGATATTGTCTACACTACTGAGCCTCAGGTAAGTGCTTTGCTCTCACTGGAACTAGGAGACAGTTCCTAAAGTGATCTCAGCTTTCAGCTTTAGTAGCTCTTCCCAGTGGACTGGGTGGACACAGGTGCTTTTGGATGTCCTCTTGGCTAGACTCTGGAGTGGTCAATTACCCAAGCCACTTGACCTGTTTCCCCCTCGGAAGGCATTCACAGGGCTCAGGGGACATGCACTGCCTTCAAACCTGACAACAGTCTATGGCCCCAAAGCTTCCCTCCTCAATCACCTCAGTAATTCTTGCAGCACCAGGGGGTAGGGCAGTTTTACCATGCTGTTTTCTCAAGACTGATACACAGGCAGCCCTGTCCATCCCTCTCCCTGCATCCCTGTTCTCTCTTCCGTCAGTCAGATGGGCTGGTGACTTCTAGGTGAAAGGTCAGTAAGGTGCACCATCTTCCATCACTGTCCCTTGCTTTGTGCTTAATGGAAAAAGTGAACTTTCAAAGCAGAGGCTAAAACGTATTTTTTTTTTTTTTGGAAAAGCTCAGTTTTGGGGAAGGAAGAACTGCCAAGTCATTTCTAGGATGAGTCATCTTCTTTTAATTTATAAAAGAGAAATCCTCAGGATGACAAAGTTTTATTTAATAGTGTTACAATTTCCTTTTGCTGCAGTTTTCCTCTGGGGGCCTCAGATTCTCATTTGTCCTACACTGCATGTCTGTGGGGACCCTGCCTGTCAGAAGCAGGGCCCTTGAATTAGTGGGAAGCAGGTCACCCAGAGGCATAGGAGATGCCTTTTACTGCATCATTTTGCCAATAACATCTCAGCCCTGCTCTCTAATTGTGTCCTCAGCCAAAATGGGCCATTTTTTTTTTTTTTTAATAGGAGATAGATGTCTGGGTATCCCAATTCATTCATTCAATTGTTGTCCCAAATGTAAATCAGGGAAGCAATGTAAATTTTAAATAAAGAGCATGTTTGGTGTCAGTCCAAGCAGCCATTAAAAATAAGATCAGGATTTATAATGAGCCTCACTGGGAAAGTAAAATCTTTCAGGCAGCCGAAAGCAAACCTTCACCAATGGGCAGTGTGCAATGGGCAAATGAAAATGAGAACAAAGTACCTATTTTCACAGTAAATGATATTGAGGTCCATGTTTACTCGAGTGACGAACATATGGCAGTCAATTCTGACTTCATTGATCGTAGGGGGAGGCAAGGCATGAGCCACCACCACGAGTCCCATGATTTGGCTGGGGACTGTCCTCCCGTGGGATAGCGACACTCTGAGTCGAAGCCGGCCGGTTATATGAATCACCTGAAAAAAACAAAAAAGTACAGGACACCACTTAGATGTGTATCGCAGAAGTAAAGGTTGTTTCTTCTAAAGGAGGAAATCTCTCACTGGGAGCACCATTCCGAGGTCGTATCTTCTGTAAGAGAGTGGTTGTACTCATGGGGAAGCTCAGAGAATACATACTATTAGATTTTTTTCAGGTTGCATTATTACAGTGCTTTTTTTTTTTTTAAAGGATCCCCTCCCCTGTGTTTATAGAAAATTCATCATCACATCATATGACTAAGATGCTGAGCACTGAGCTAGCTGCAGAAGGAAGTGTCAGAATTATTAGCCCTTGTTAGTAAAAGATGTCCTTCTCTTTCCGGTTTTGGGGTGAGAGATTACATGCCCACCTGCTTTCTGGAGTTTGTGGCTCAGAGATTTCCTTCATTCAGAAAAATTCTGGGATTTTTTTTAAACAAAAGTCACATTGAGGGCTATGGCATATATGGATTATTTGGATGACAGAGGACATTTCTCATTGGGCAGTACCGGGTTACCAGGAGTTTTGCCACTGGAGGTTCAGGGAGGGCATGGCAGTTGGCCTGTGATACATTCCTTGAGCTCACACTCAGTAGAGGCCGAATGATGCATGCCATATTCGTGGCATTTCAGATGCACTTGTTTAGTAACTCCAGGAGGAATACTGGGCTGAATTGTTTTGTTTATGAGCTGAACTGAATGCACCACCCACCCAGAATCCTCAGAGGAGAACTTCAGGGTCAGCTTCTAGAAATGATGCAATAGACAAACAGATCCATAAATGGTTGAAAACCATTAAGGGTTTCTATGGCTATGCTTTGAGAAGACAGATAGAAATGGGGTGTGCCACCGGGCAGTGGTGGCGCATGCCTTTAATCCCATCACTGGGGAGACAGAGGCAGGAGAATCTTTGTGAGTTCGAGACCAGCCTGGTCTACAAGAGCTAGTTTCTAGGCAGCCTCCAAAGCCACAGAGAAACCCTGAGCTAGGACTTGGAGTGCCCTGCGCCTGTGCATGCGTCAACTCTTACGGCATTCAGAGTGCCCTGTTGTGTGTGGGATCATCTAAAACAAGCCAAACAAGAGACTCCTGGGGTTCACTCTGTAAAGAGCCCTGTTTAGTGGCAGAGTATCCACATCATGGAGCATCTCACCGCCTATCAAGACTTTGCTTCCTCACGAGAAAGCAATGAGGGGAGTAGGTCCCCCTCTCCTTGCCTTGCCTTGCCTCCTCTCCAGAACAATACAATACTGTCTGGAGTCTGCTCTCCTTCCCAGTGGCTTGACCAGCAATCCCTTTTCCATTTTATTTTTTGCTTCTCTTAAGTTATTCTGTTTTCCAAAAGCAATGCACACTCCTGTCAGTCAGGAAGCAGGATCAAAGCTTCCAGGGCTGCCCTTCAGAGTCCTGGCTGTTGTAAATAATACCTCTCCTCTGTCACCCTTCACATGAGCACCCAGAGCTGAGAAGCAGGAGACACAAGCCAGGAGGATTATTTAGGTTATTTGAGCAGCGGCTTTTCGACCACCCACATTTGAAGTTGAGTAAATTCATACTTAATGCACCTTTGCTTTTACCTTCGGTCAGATGAGCCACTTTATGAATATTTGAAACTGTTCCTGGAGGCAAGGGTGCTAAAACACCATCACAGACATTTTTTTTTCTTTTGCAAGACCTCATTAACTAATAAAGAAACAGCTAAAAGAAACAGGATTAACTTCACAGGAGGGGTGGTACAGCCCCTGCCTCCTCCCAGCTAGGCTTACATAGATGCTCATTTATCATGATCTGTCTTGTTTTATCAGGAAAACTCAGCTTCTTAGAAATAGAGATCTATAAATGCTCAGAAAAACACACCCAGAAATGATATGCCAAATAATCCCTGCTTGATATTCTATTCTAAAGCAATTTCAGGGCATGTGGGCTGGAGCACAGATGAGGGAAGGCAGATGAGGAGGTATATTCCTGTGCTGCCTTTGCCTGTCCTCTGAGCTCTAAGAAGATTGACCCTGGCCATCCTGCTACTGGACCTAGACTCGCAATTTTCTGGTTCTGTTCCCATAGGCAAGCCACTCAGCCTCTCTGCGTCTCAATTTTTCTCCCCCGTGAAATGGGAGTAACAGTGACTATTTCACAGTGGAATTCTGAAAAGGAGGGCATGGACTTAGATGCTGTACAAGTGGTAAAGAATTCTCTGACATTTAAATACTATCTTTATCTTTGACATCAAGCAATAAGGATCAAATATCTATTTAGTGTTGGCCAAATACATTATTTTTGGATAGTTTATAACATTGCATATCTGGATGAAAATGTGAATTTTTCCACTCTAGGTAAGGGTCTGAGAAATCCATTGCTTGCCCAGTCAGTTAGCTTGGAAATGGCAAGTTGCCTGGAGCCTAGGTTTCTGGGTTTTGTGCAAGTGTCATTTGAGCACTATTATGCCTGATGGTTATTTTTAATGTTCATACTCTTACTGAATAAAGCATTAGAATTATATGCCAGATGGCAGCTTGCTGCTGCCCTGAGTAAAGTCTATGACGAATCTTCAGGCCCATTTTACTTAGAACCCAAAAGAAAAGAGAGAGGGAAGGATTGAAAGGAATTCTCTTGGATCCTGTGATTAAATTTTAGGGTTAATATACTTTCCCCAAACTATTTCATAATGCTTTTTACCTTCACATGACGGGTTATGTTCAGATTCAAAATGAGTCTGATAGCATTCATGCAAACATGGTAGAAAGCTGCTTTTTATACAATAGTTTCATTGTTGCCTTTAGGCTTAAGAAGTAGTAGAACAAGAACTGTCAAGAGGGCCTGGGTTCAAATCTTAGCTCTGATATTTAATGATATCAAGAAAACTGAAACAACTCAGTCACCAAATAATATCTTAAAAGCCTGCCATAAAGAGAACAAATGTATGTATCCTTCTGTATCTGAGGTACTGGTTCTAGGACCCCCTAAAATACTGAAATCTGTGTATAATTCAGACCCCCCATTTTGAAGTAGGGTACAGGCTGACCTGAAACTCACCATCCTCCTGCCTCAGCCTCCTGAATGCTAGAGTTTTAAATCAATACTTGGCCCATTTTTCAAGTTCTTTGTATAGTATAGTATTTACATAGATCCTGTGTATATCCTCCTGCACATGCTAACTTAGGCCTAGATTGCTTTTACTAGGAAAAAAATATGTACATATTCAGTGCAGATACAATGCCTTTTCTCCACATATTTTCCCTCTGTCATTGGTTGAATCTTTGGGTGTGGGATCTACAGATGCAGTAGGCCAGCAGCAATCCTTGCAAAGATCTCCTTCCCTTCCTCCCTTCCTTCCTTCCTTCCTTCCTTTCTTCCTTCCTTCCTTCCTTTCTTCCTTTTTTTTCATGAGGTTGAGGAAGGTAGGTGTGTGTGTGTGTATGTGTGATCTTCCTGAGTGCCACAGAACAAACCACAGGGATTGTAATATGATGTCATCTTCAAAGAGTTTAGATGGAGGCAAGGCAAAACACATGTAATTTCTTCAGTATGTTCATAAGCAGGAGATGATACAGTGGCTGACAAAGATAGTGGGTCTCAATCCTAGTTATGTAACACCCTCACCCGTGTTAGTTCTTTATCCCTGGATTCTGATTGGTAGGACCTGGCTGAGACCTGGCATTTCTGTGAGAAGCTTCAGAGAGGGCACTAACAACTAAAGAACATCTGGCAGATGCTTTTGGAGTTATACCACTGGTTCTTTATCTTAATACATATTGAGATCACTGAATATGGCTCTGAAAGTCTCCATAGCTGTACCCAAGGCCAAATAAACTAGGGTCTCAGGGAGTGGGCAAAGGCATCAACATTTGCATGTAAGTATTCCAGGTCACTGAGAGGATTGAGTGGAAATGTATATTAATTTATGCCTGGCCTAGTATACGTTCCTAATAAAATGATGGAAATTTCTTTGTGAGTACAGGGCAGGAAGAAAAGTTTTGACTGAACAGAATAGGAAGACTACATGAAACATATATTATTGCTGATATAGGTAAGATCATGGAACATTGAGGCACTAACAACAAAGCACAGGGAGAGGAAAGCTGTGGGGAGATCCCAGGGCTCCAGGGACATTTCAGTTGGCATGGCTGCGGAAGGGACAGGGGTGAATCCCAAACTTTCAGTAGAACTTGGGAAAAGAGATCATGCCATCGTGTGTGTGTGTGTGTGTGTGTGTGTGTGTGTGTGTGTGTGTGTGGTGAGTATGGCATGTGTGCATATAAGCACATATTCCTATGTGTGTATGTTGTGTTTGGATACCAGAGGTCAATGTTGAGTGCCTTCCTTCATTGAAACTGGGACTCACCCATGCAGTGAGGTAGCTGGCTGGTGAACTCCAGGGACCCTCATGTCTCTACCTGCCTAGAGATGGGGTTATGCACCGGTACTGCAGGCTCTTACTGGCTGTCCTGTCTGCCATGTGCCACACCACAGCACAGCAATGACAATGGCAAGTGGGAATGCAGGAACATTTGACCAAGGTGAGGACATACATGATTTCCCTGGGATCAGTCTAACATCTTGGAGAGATGGAGAAGGTACCCAGGAGTTGATGAACAGTAAGAGATGGTATTTAAGTGAGGGTGACAATTGAATGTATTGTTCTGGAAGGTTCTTTTTCCTTGGAGATGACAGTTAAAAACTAAGAAACCCAATGAAATTATCAATGGAGAAAACACAGATAGGAGGAAAATGCCAAAGGCATTTTTTTGGGGGTCCCTTTGAGTACCTGAAGCCTAACGCAATTTTTTTTTTCTCAGCAGAAGCTCCCTTGCTCTGTAACAGTTGGAGGGTCCTCTCTTCATCTGCAGTCACATTTAACTGTGGTCAGGAGATACAACATGATGAGAAACTTTGAGAGAACAGGAGAATGGGTCGGGGGGGGAGGGAAAAGGAAGGAGAGCATTCATGTAGCTTTCATGGTAGTATATGGGTATACTATATATTTTATAATGCGTTAT